TTTCTTTTGAATCATATTGAAGATTAAAACAATAATAAGTTGACAGTGACAACAACAATCCCTTTACAAGGATGAATATCCTAGCTGGTGTATGACTATAATTCTGTCAACTAGTGGTTTATATTTAGTTTGATATTCTTTACTCTGGTTCAGTAATTTTTTGTATGATAATCACATGATTGTAAGTAAAAATTACAAATGGTAGCAGTTTACATTCCATGCTACTTCTTTTAGAAGTTATAAATTTATGATTTATTTTGACAACCACTTTGATTGTCATTTGAAATTAAAAATTTTTGCGAATTACATGCAACAAGGGTATTCCTAATGTTTTATATTTAGGGTAAACTAGGAATACTCAAAACTGTGGTCTTGTTTCATGAATCACAGATATTGAGTGTGTTAAAAGAAAAATTAATGTACAAAAGTTTTTCAAATTATATTTATAGTTATATTTCCTTGGGAGTTTGACAAGCACAATTCCACAGATATTTCTGAAATTTTGGCAAGCATTTATCATAAATCTAGTTGGAAGACGAACCTCTCTACACAGAATGAATACTTGCTAAAAGCAAGGATTTGAGACATTTATTCAGTAGTGGAAATACCTTTAAAATGAGAATTCAAAGTCATAATTCTTAAAACAAGGAATGTAAATCTTATTTTTAATGGTGGTATTCTTAAACTGAGGAACTTTCATTGGAGAGTATAAAATTCTTAAAAGCAGAAATCTTTATCCTTACATTTCAAGGAATTGACTCTCAAAATATGGAAAAAATCCTTGTTATGAGTATCCACTGACTTACAATAAGAATTCCAAAAACATAAACTTTAGAGTGGTGCGAACATTCTTGTACTTGTTTTCATCCTCGTGCTAATAACTATCTCAGAAGTGCGAGACAGGCTTCAAGCGTGGTACTCAGCTGTAACACAAGCATAGGCATAAACATAGCAAGCTAATGCGCAGGTGCATGGGCACAGCTGCAACATAAACATGAGCACAAGCACTCCGATGATGTTATGTTAAAAAGGGACATGGTTGGTATAAGCAGTATAGTGCTTGCTGATTGCCTGAAAGTCTTTTGCTTATGTTAAACCTTACGCTTATGCCAACCAAGTCTTAACTAGACAGTAAAAGCATAAAAAGAAGGCAACGTTTTGATAATCATATGCATATATGCTTATCCTTATGTCCCTGCATTCCATCTAGCGCATAAGCTTTTACATGCCTATCCCTATGCTTGCATCGCAAGTAAATACTGAGCTCAATATTGGAACAATAGTTTTATGATAAACAAAACAGCGCCCTTTTGAACTTTCTTCCACAAACCTTTACAGTAAAATCTAGAACAGTGATTGTCTTGCACTAAATCCTAATCTGGCCATATTTTCTGTCTATGAGGCCTAATTTAGTTTGACATCATATTCCTCATAATGCTCATTTACCAGTCTAACGATTCATACCCTAGTATGGAAATCAAACACCCATTTCTATTGACCACATAAATTACATTGGCTTATCAAATTCACGAGTTGACTCACAGAGCCTTTGATTATTCCTCTGCGTGACATGACGAGTGTGACGCAAAACATGGTGGAAATTATGCTAATCATACACGCATAAATATTAGTCAAACGACTGTAACATCGGCGCCTAAACAACGCAACGGTCCGCTAAAGCTTCCCTTACTCATGTTAATATTGGAGTCTCCAACGTTGCAAACTATGTTTGTGTGCCCTGCGAACTCCTTCTGTTCACGTATTAAAGTTGGAAAGAGAAGATATGCTTCGTTGCATAATATAGTCATAAGTATCAACTCAAAGATCACTGAAAGAACAATGTCAATGAGAAATCCTTAGTTTTCATATCCCAAGGACGTCCACAAGGATAACATATTTTTTCACAATCTTTAAAGACAGATTTGGCAATAAAATTCGTCGTTGATCGAACGGTGACAAAGATCGATCCGTTGATGTCGCCCTTGAAGAAGATTTGAACGTGCCACAGACCGTTCAGTCGTTCAGTATTGGGCCAAAAATCTCATTTAATTGAAGACGCATATTTTAATTTACGAATACACATAATATTTGATCTTTTCATTCCTCTCACTACAATGAAATACTCACCAAACGCTTCTTTTCTCTTCTTTTCTTTCTCTCGCCTCGACGCTACCTATATCGAGTACGAATCAAGGAGTCACGCGACAGTTTTACCCCGTGTGGGGTAGAGAGGGGTTGGATGCGTCCCTCATATGCCATCACGCGATAGCGACGAGGTAAAAGTATTCCCAAGTTTCTTTTAATTCATATTGTTTTATTCAAAATTTCTATGAGAACCTGGGGTCTTGAAAAACGTTCGAATCCCTCTAACCAGTATTAGGTCCACCAAGAGGAACTCTGAAATTATTTTGGAGGAGTTTTTTAATTTTGATCCAGCCAGGTTTGGAGAACAATCGATCAAAACTGTTTCCCTGATCGTTACATCGGAGTTACATTTCAGTTCAATCCAGCCGCTAAGTCTGACAAGGCGGACACAAGGGGTTATTAAGTTTACAATCTCTTGGAACAAATTTTACTGTCTTATTTTTGAAATGTTTTTTATTAGAGAACTCAAATCAACACTAAACAAACAGTGCGATTCAATTCGACCTATTTCAACTTTTTCTAAATTTTTATGCTAATTTAGAAATTTTTACTTTCTTGAAAATGACCTCGGAGAGTTCGAAACGTCGTGCTTTTTTATCGCTTATTTTTATCCCGAAATCCATATCTAAAAATTTACTCACTAAAATCTCTTGGTTCACATTAAAAAATGATAATATCGCTATCAAATGTTGTCGAGTTCGTCTCTTTGATTATCTAGTCAGTTGTCTCATCAGTGCTTCAGGATTTTGTAGACAAGATAAAGAGGTTTTAGTTATGTCACCTCTCTGGTAATGGGGAATCGTTTTCTTGGCAGCGTTAAGCCACTTTCCCTCTTTCTCTAACTCTTCAATCATTGGCTGATACCGTTCAACCTCACCCAAACGAATGTTGAAGCTTATAAGACCACCTATAATACAAAATGAATATATTTCAATATATGAATTCAATGTATACACACAATTTTGGGTGACACTGAATCATGCCAAATCTCTTGTTGGTAGGGAATAGAACGAATTGTATTGCAGCACAGAATAGTGTTGTTTGGGTCACTCAGTAACTGAAATGAAATAAAAAGGAGCAAATTTAGGAAGGGGCTACATTTAAGAGAAATAATTTTGTTCTCCTCATGAAAATTATTTTAAGCTTGCTGGGGTCATGCTTCAAATAAATCAAACTTGTAGTGGAAAACGTGTTTTTGGCGAGTGAGCGAGCGAACACCTTTGTTTGGCCACACAAAGAAAAACACATTTCCGATTATTTCTACTTCTTCCAGCCCTATAATCAAGAGCTCTTATGTCCAACTCGCCTGCTGACTGGAGGCCGTGTCTGGTAGGAAATGAAAACAATTCATTTTGAATCGCACCAATTTTGATCATGCGTATCATTTCCATCAGAGCAGTTGCTTTGACATGCGCAGCACACAGCGTGCCAAAGCAGATCATGGCATCATATTCTCCAGTGTTAACTTCAGGATTCTGATCAGAGTTAAGTGGAGCGCAAATGAACTTTTGGTAAACGTTTTTCTTCCTTGCTTCATTCAACATTTCAGGTGAGATGTCCAAAGCACACAGGTGAGTGTAGCCAAGTTTGTGAAGCTCAACTCCACACAAACCAGTGCCAGCTCCGCAATCGATAATTTTGACCTCATCCGTTGGTTTTTCCAAGTATTGTTTGATGGCAGCGTCCAAGCATTCAGCTTGTGGTCGATGAGTGACACACTGCACGAGTTCCTGAAAGATGATTTCACAAACAGCACCAACCAAACTCAAATTAATGCAAATGAAATATTTTGCAATTAAAAAAATGTTACTCTAATCTTAAATTTATAAATTGTACTTAATTTGTTACTTAATTGTACGTATCTTTATTGCCCAGGGCTCCTATGAATACCAGCTTCGTTGCTTACTTACTTACTTACTTCTGCGATTCTACATTTTTCAATAGACTGCGTAAGACCACAATACTGTAGTATCCTGTACACCTTTCAATTGCACGTGGTGAAGCTAGTTTACGCTAAAATTGTGACTTCTCTCACTTATGCCGTCTTTTCATAATATGGTAAGTTGCAATTGTTAGATAGTTTCTGTTTCGAGTTTTGCTTCGCAAGGTAATCTTTATTATGTTTTGCAGGTTATTACAGCTTGTTGTAAGGTTCTAATTCAAAATGAAAGGTCAACGCCGTTTGTTGTGCAAGTGACTGGCGACTTTCTCCTCTATTATTAAAGACGTTGTGTTTGGATGCCTGCTCTTATGTTTGTGACAAGTCCTTTGCCGCTTCGCATATCCGGTTTGGACACCTCATATCACTTATTAAGCGCGGTCTAAAAATTTGGATGTGAGATGTTTGATCGATCCAGGAAATCTTAGTTTAATTAGGTTTGTTTGACCCAAGAACATCGGTGACCCAACCACCTGCGGCTCGTGTGCCACATCTTTGTTCTCACTACATTTCGATGTTATCTGCAATCTGTCATTGAACAGTGATTTCAAAGTGGTTGTAATAAATAGATGAATAAATAGCAAACAGTTTGATAAATTGATAACTAGAGGTGAATTGATAAATAATGAAAGAATAAGTGCAGATATATAGATGGGTTATTAACCAAGCGTGAGGTCAAGATGGCTGGATATTGGCCGAGTTCTTTTTAGGCATTAATATGGACCTTGACTTCGTCTCGGTCCATAAAAATGCGAAAAAAGAACGAGGCTAATATCCAGC